AATTTTCCGGGCCGCGAGTAATATGAATAATTCAACCGGTGCTGATGAATTGAAAACTTTGAGCCCCGGCAATAACATCCATTTTTTTTGTTGCCAGTATTGTGCAAAATAAATCATAAAACTGGCCACATTTAATGAAATAATACTTCTTGTTGTTGTTGTTGATAATTTGGATAATTATATGATAGTGACATAATAACAAATGAGAGCTACATTAATTAAAGACATTATCCATTTGAAAGAATGGCGTGAACTATAATTATGAAAAAGTAACTAGAGAAGGAATGACTAAATGGTTTGAACACATCAAAAAAATAGATTTTGGTCCATAAGGATGTGTTAAATATAACTTGTGCCACTGAAGTAATGCCATGTGCGATGCTTAAGTTCTAATTAAAGGTTAATGATTAATCACAAGGCAACTTTATGAGAAATTTGAAACCATTTTGGGTCCACACGTCTTCAAGACCGTTTTGAACCATCAAAAGATAAGCATTTGTCTCTCAATTATTGTAGTGTATAGTGTTATTTCATATTCTTATATTGCAAGACATTTTTTTAAAAATTTTATGGATTCTGAAAAAATAAGTTACTCTATTTGTGATTTAACTTAATATCTCTATTGATATTGATTTATTTTGTGAGATGAAATTTTTATTTAATATACGAAATTTAAAAAAAAAAAAGCAATATTGGTGAACGACCTGTAAATAGTGCGCTTATTATTATTATATATATAGTAAATAATACTTGGAAAAAATACTCATCGGTACTAGATTAGAAAATTAAATATAGATATGTTCTTTGAATTTCATTAGATACTAATAATAGGTCCCGAAACATTTAATATTTACAAATTTGACTTGTAAATAACATAATTTAACTTTTTTTTGGCTGGTAGTATAATTTAACTTATAAATATAAAAGTTTGACTTGTAAATATTAAGTAGTTAAATTTGACTCATAATTTGTAAATAACGAAACTCAACATGCAAATATTTAATTTTTTAAAATTCTATTAGTATTAAATAATATTTACATTGATTTTTCCTTAATTTAATCCTCATATACCTGAATTTATTTTCCCTTTATATCGATGAAGATGCTTAATTAATCTAGAAAGTGACGTAGACATATATATGATCAACATCAAGTAACTGATGATTAAATTGTAAGGAACGAGCAAAAATATTAAAAAAATTATTCAAATAAGTTCAACTTTTTTGACGCATGAAATCCGTGCAAGAGCAGTTTTTAAGGTAGACTGACTAGCAAATACAACTGCTGAATATTGATGTAAACTGATAAACATTCAAAGGCTCAACATGTTCAGTTAAACATTTACTAGGGAATAAATGGAGGCATAAGATATGGAGGAGGAGCCGGATTACTCTGTTTACGATCACATTATAATAATACATACTAGATCATATTTATGAAAACAATTGCAGTGACTTGCCACAAGACCCACCAGAGCAAAATAACATTTTGTTGCTGCACGAACAGCATAAAAAATATGACCGGTAATATTTTAGTAAGTAAAATTAGGAACTCTGGACTTTCTACGCCGGTTGCAATTGAAATCAGTATAAAAATACTATGTATATAGTTATTTAAATTATTTAATGTATTTAAAAATTTATAGCTTTTTACACTGGTTGTTAGAAAATTTCAAAACTTTTCTACACCGTCTATATTTGCATCAGTCAGAGAACCGATGTAAAAGGCCTTTTTAACCAATATAAAAACGTCTTTCTGCACTAAATCATCCTGTGTTATTTCTTTTATGAATTGCTTGCTTCTCTTGAGCATCTTTATATATATATATTGGTGATATGAGCATCTTTATATTTAAAATGCAACTCAACGAGAGTTTCTTTCATTAGGGCCCAACTTGATTCGAATTCATCATATACTAACCTATACTGGGTATGAGGGAAGTGAAGGGAAAGGTGTGGAAGAAAAATTTTAATGAGCTTAATTTAAAAAATGAGAAAAGTGAGATTTTAAAGTTTTAATAAAGGAAAATTGTAAAATAAAGAAGTAATAAAAACTTATTAAAAGCTTTTAACTCTATTTTTTTTCATTTTTTTAAAATGGATTTCATTAAAATTATTTCTTCTTTCTCCTCTTCTCCATTTCCCATGGTATGGAAAACCAAACCAGATTGGCCGGTTTGGACCAGAAACTAGTGAACCGACCAAGAAACCGGTCCAGCTGAACCTATGAACCGAGGTCACTTTGACCCGGTGTGACCCAAACTGAACCAGGGAAAACTGGTAATGATCTGGTTTGGTGGGTTAACTCGATTCCCTTTTTTTAAAAAAATATTTTGATGATTTTTTTTTAAAAGCTATTGATAATTAGGACTTAGTTATTGAATAGCTATACGGAGGAATATTTTGTTATCATATATCTATTTTGATATTTTTTGGGACGAATATTTAGTGATTTTAATAGTATGATATTATAAGAAATTGTAAATATATGATTATTTTACTAGTAATTCAAGATATTAAATTGATATCTAGTTCCTAGTAAAAATTTTATTTTTTTATTTTTTTATTCTCACCAGTTTGACCCCTGGTTTGACTTCGGTCTGACCATTGACCCTTGACTTACTGTCTTGATCGGTTCAATTGCCGGTCCCGTTTTTAATATCTTACTATTTCCCTCATACCAAACGAACCCTAAATGATTTGTTAAAAAGAAGAAATTAATGTCATGAAGAAAAAATTGGTTACATGGTCATATACTCATATATCATTCAAGACAGTTTTGGTATGGTCATTTCATTATATTTTGACTAGTCTTCCAAAAACATAGCATCCTTCTTTGCTAGCTAGCTGGAAATGGGGTAAGCAGAACTACTTTGTTTTTTTTTTTTGCTCATTCAAGTCTAAATAACTTCGAGCATGTGAATTTTTTATTTGTTGTTTTTTTTTTTTCAAAATGAACCATGATGGTTTATTTCACTTTATTTCATCGTGTGCTTCATATAATATAATGGCAAGAAAGTGGAATTGAAATCTCTTGATTGAGACACTTATTCGTTGTATCATACGACAAGCATAAAAGTTAATGAACTCTTTAATCTCTTACAAAGCTGTGTTTGATCATGTCAATAAAAGCAACAACAATAATAATGACGATGATGATGGCTTTTGTAGTGGCCAAAAGTACTTAATTAATTAAGACAGTCATATTTAATTTACATTTTATTTTGTTTTGAGAAGTTATTTCAGGATGAAAAAAATTGTTTGTTAAGAAATTTACTCAATACTTTCATAGGATAAACACTTATGAAATTAGTAAGCTATGATCTGACAAAAGAATAAGTTAATTAAACTGCAAATGCCCAATATAAATCGCGCATCTAAAACTTCAATCTAATAATTCTTAAAATTGGCGATTTTTCCACATTCTACAACCAAGCTACTTTAATTTTAATTGCTCCTGACTGTCATTATTCTTTTATATAATTTGTTTAAGTAATTATTCAAATTTGTTGGCAAAAAAAAAGAAATTATTCTAATTTAAAAATAACAAGCTAGGGCGAAAATAAATTAGTTCAGTATTTTTACTTTATGCAAAATATCAATAATCAAATATTAATATATCAATAATCAAAGAAACTGCTCAATGGTAAGTAGTGTTTCTTAATACAATACACCAAAGAAACATGCACAATTTCAATGGAATTTCTTTGTGGAATTTTTACATCTTAGAAATATCCTACATAATTTTATTTATTATTATTTTTTGAATAAATGAGCATTCATTACTTAAAAAGAATTACATCAGAAGCCTGTGTGGTAAAATACCACGTAATCTACGTCTATATGCTTAAATCCCCTATTTACGTAATTCAACTGATGCAAGGGGAAATTGGTGGTGAACCTTAATTCAGTGAAGTCAAAATTTAACAAGTATTCACGAAAGCGTACCTAGCAAACACCATCTTACCTATAAAAGTGCCTATGAAAGTTTTAAAAGAGTGCAAAGATAGAACATAAATGAACGTGAAGCCACCGTTAAAAAAAAGTAATGGACGTTTGTTTAAATGAATGGTCATGGCAATTTTACGTCTTTCTGAAACTTTCACAGGCATTTTCGTACTAAAGCGAACATTATGGTGCTAAGTGTACATTCACCAAATATTCTATAGGTAAATTTACGCCTTCATCAAAGATTTACAAAAGCAAGACTAAAAAATTATTTATGAAAAAATCAAGGAGAGGAAGAGCGGGAGAGTGAGGTGGAGAGTGTAAGAATATGCATATGAACCCTTCATCACCTACATGCTCACAATACATTAACTTATCTTCTGATTCTGATTCTAAACATAGGAGCTAATCGAAAAATTTGATTTGATTTTGAATAATATATCATAATTCACTTTGTATTTCCTGAATGTATAATTTCTTCCTCAGCTATTCCTATTCATTGCATATGTTATCTTAATAAAATGCACATTTTTTTGTAACTAAATTTTCTTAATCATTATAAATTAGTTACATGGCACATATATTTAGGATTCGAGAAAATATCATCTTCTCCTCGGTATCAACATTTTAAACAAAGCTATCTTGATCAATTCACGAATGAACAAGTTAGTGCAAGAAGCGTTAGTTTTCGCTAATTAGCCGTACGGCATTGTTCATCTCTGAGATCTCAATATTACTGTTCCGATCCTAAATATAAGACCCTTGTATACACTGATTTTATATTTAAGATTGTTGTTGAAAAGAAAGAACCATGTGAAAACTACGAAGCTCTCTAAGCAATGAACTATATATAACATATGTAAAAAGCTGGATGAAATATAAAACAAACAGAGAATTTCTGACTTATCAGAAACAGTACAAGTCAATATGGGAGCTATACTAATTCTCAGTTTACACTTGAATTTCCATCACTTCACAAACCTCTTTACCCTCTTATTATGTTTACAAATTAAAAAAAAAACAAAAACAAAAACCCTGCCCACTGTATATGTACTATATTTGTTTTTTTCCCCCCTCTCTTATGATCCTCTATAATCTATTTTGCTAAAATGGAAAATGAAACTAAACAGAAATATATAGATGAGGGTGACTTAACTGCTCCGAAGATTCATGCCTTCAATCTCTGGAATTTTGCAACTCGCGAGGGTGTAACGTCTGAAAAAGATGAAGATGATGATCATTGAGGAGGGCCATATCCTGGTAGGTCAGGCCATTGATTTCCACTCAGAGAAGATGATCCAGCTTTATTAGCATCATGCTCATTACTATGACCATTATTACCAGTACTCCCAGAATTGTCTGCAATCGAAGTTGTGCTCACAGTACTCCACATAGAGTTTTGAGACCAATCATGGAGTGAAGCGTAACTGCTATTATTACCCATATTCATCATGCTCGTTTGATGAACCAGACCTCGATGATCAGATAAGTACAGAGATTCCACCTCCCTGCTTCTTTTTTCCGATTGGAACACCGGTGACGACGGAGGAACTTGGTGCTTTGAGGCTTGAGTCGACGGAGCGTTGAACCAAGGATGAAGACCCAGATTGGCAGGAACAAGATTCAGAGACGAAAGGTTGAATAATGGTTGTGATGGGTTTTGGGAGTGAATCGCCGCCAGAGATGATAGATGCCCGCCACCTTGATAGTAGGAACTGATCGAAGGAACCGCCGGTGCCGGTGCCTGTGCCGCCATCGCAGAAGAACGACCGACCAGATTAACGCGTGAAGGTAACGTCATCGGGTTCGGTTGCGTAGGGATCACCTCTTGCAGCCGAGGTTGCAGCGGTTGTTGCCGGCTCATCAATTGAAGGGCGGCAGCGGATGATGACGAAGAGGCCGACGACGATTTGGTCCGTTTTCCCTTCCGGCAACCACCACCGATGGGTATGTTTCGCAAGGATCCTCCATGGGTCCAGTACCTTTTACAAGTTTTGCAGAAGTACCTTGGCTGCGACAGGCTGTAGTTGTTGTAATAGCAGAACTTGGTGTTCACAGAATCACAGCGGGGACATCTCTGCTGTGGCGGAGGCTGAGGCGGCGGTTGAAGCTGAGGTTGGTTATTCACCTCTCCTCCTCCTCCACCTCCACCGTCACCACCACCACCGCCACGTTCTGGAATATTCATCATCCCTCTGTCTCTCTAAAAGTCTCTTAAGGGTATTGAGAACTGTGAAATAAGATGATTCTTCTTGTGGGTTTGAGTTTGTATATTTATACACAGAAACTGCAAGGTCGGTGTGATATGAACATGCAAGGTGTTAAGAGAAGTGTGATGATCTGAGCGTTTCAGATTTGAAAGGGTAATCTATAAGCTCTCAACGTGGCTGAAATATGTATCAGAGAGAATCTAATAAACTGACCAAAACCACGGCGAGATATCATAGAAACTTATACTACCCTTACATATATAAGGGCATGTGTTACCCAAATACCACCAAATTAATAAGATCTGGTAATCATGATGATGATAACTTTTGTGAATCTGAATATGTATCAATTCAATAATATCTGGGCAATTAAATATCACAGGATTCTCAAAATCTCACTCCATAATATATATGAAGTTCTAGAACATCAAATGAGGAAGGATTTGAGGAACAAGGTGAGTATACATACGTATATAGAAGTTAGAACCTGGGGTCTCTGCAACGTGGCAATTTAAGTCTGAAAAGGGAATGAGCTGAATCTGAGTGCAGCAAGAGATGATGGAAAAGGGATTGAAAAAGTGACGAAGTTTACGCAGTTTGATTGAAGAGGAAAAATCAATATCACAAACTGGAAAGCTTCTGGGTTCTGATGTTTTTGATTGTGGGTGGTCGACCCAGAAAGCAAACGAGAGAAGTGAACTGAGACAAGTACGGTGGAGGAGGAAGGTCCACTGAACAGGGCGGAAGGCGGTGGCGCCGGAGAAGGCAGGGCAAAGGCTCCGGTTGGGTGGGTGAGTGGCCGGAGTCTATGAATCCGTGTGGCTATGTCAGAACTCAGAACTGAAGTTCTCATCGCTTTCTTGCTTTTTCTTCTCTTTTTGTTCTTTTGTCTCTCTCTCTCCTCGTTCATCTCCACTCCACTTTCATTAATTTTTTCAGAAAAATGAAATCAGCAGAAAATTATTATAATTATTATTGATTACTGATTAATAGTGTTTTTTGTTGGTCATTTCTGACGTCATTGCGTGTTTCTTTCCCTTCCAGATTAGACGCCTAGTTCCCACGTAGACCATGATGACCGCCCTTGATACTTCCTCTGATTTTCCTTGTTCACATTGACCAACATGTTCTGTTTTGGCCACTCGTTTGACCAACGACATTGAGTATACTGCTTATTAGTATTAAGATCCAGCTAAGATCAGCCACTCAGTCTTGTGGACCTCGGAAGTAGCCCTACTTTACCCCTTCATCATCATAGGATGAAATCTTAATAGTCAAAATTTAATATTTTATAAAATTATTATTATAATTTTGTTTTAAAAAATACATAAATAGATTTTAACCTCGTTAAAATCTGATTTAAACAGTTAACATGCATAGATGATGATTATTATAAAGTAGGCATTTTTCCTTTTTTTTTTCATTATGAAAGTACCAAATCAAATTAGTCATCAGCTCAAAGTTTGGTTTAGAGAAAAGTTTAAACTCAAGTCAGTCTATGGTCTAGTCTCATCTTACATCAACCCCAAGTCAAATTGGACTAAACTTGGTCCACTCAATTGTCTAAAGTGGTCCAAGTAGTTCTGTATTTTTTTTTTTATGGGAAGCAAGATTTCAACTTGATAACCACGAAACAACAATAAAATTTACATATAATCATATAAAACTTATCCAAAAACAATAAGACCTAATTGTAAATCTAAAAGCATTTCCAACATTCAACAACAATATGACACCTAATTATATATATATATTTTTTAAAAAAGCTCAATTGAGTCTAACTAAACCAGACCAAGTGCTCAGATCACTTGGTTTAGAACTCAGTATAACTTGACTAGCTAGTCTCGTTTGGTTTGATTCGATATCTTTTTCGAGCTTATTTTAACCTACTAGATCAAACTAGATCCACTACCTCAAATTGGATTGGGTTAAATTGGCTACTAAGTTTTTGCCCACCCTTATTGTAAACCAATCTTTTGACTGGTTTGGTTTAGAGTTTTGGATATATTGATGATCAAATTTTATACTTTTTTCCTCCATGTGCTCAACATAAAACAACATTGTTTTGATTTTTAAAACAATAGCAATTCATCATATTTATGGTTTAATAATTCTGTTTTGTTGAATTACGTTTAGTTTATATGTGGATCCTCCATCTATTTGTGAATAGAGGCAGTAATACAGGTCGATGTGCAATATTAGAGTTAGGCAGTGTGAGTTAAAAAAGCCCTGTGTAATGACGACGCATATAGTGGGTTGACGAGTTAGCCCGCCAACCTACCGATAGCATTTTCTTTTCTTTTTTTTATATAATTTTTTTATATACAATATAAAAAAATATAATGATATTTTTATTTTTTTCTTTAAGTACTTGATTGAAAACACCAAATAAGTGATGAAGGTTTTTTTTTTAATTTTTTAAATAGGATATAAAATATTATAATATGCTCATAATAATAAATAAAATTCAAAAATTCAAAAAATAAATGCGGGTTAGCCTATATGTTGGGGGGGTTAACCTGTGGTAGGTTGTAGGTTTCTCGGTGTGGGTTGAACAATTTTTTTTTTTTAGTGGGTTGGCTAAAAGCCAATATTTAGCCAATCTTAAGCAGTCGTTAATTCATATTACCAAATCTAGTTGTAAATTAAGGAATTTTTTAAAAATAATATTCTTTTCCGTGTTATGTATTAATGTTTGCATATATTTTAATTAAATTATACTCCTCCGGTCCTAATTATAAGACCCAATTGACTTATTTGAGGAAATTAAGGAAGTAAGTTAAGTTGGTTATTTATAATAAATAAGTGTTGTTATTTCTAAAATATCCTTGCTAATTAAGTATATTAGCTAAAACTATCATTCTTAGAAGGATTATCTTGGAAAAAAATGCATAAATATAAGAGAAAAAATGGATTGGGTCTTATAATTAGGATCAAATAAAAAGTCAAATTGGGTTTTATAATAAGGACCGGAGGAGTATTACTTTAATTCGTGATAGAGGTTTAAGTCAATAATTCAACAACCATTAAACTAATGACTTTTAAAACTCTGTTTCCACTAGTTCTCTACGTACATTTAAATATCAACCCCAAACATCAACTCAGATTGACTTAAGTAGCATGGCTCTCATTTCTTAGCCAAGCCGTTTATGATTCAATTTTCAACACTTTTATAAATGGAGCAAATCTGAGCGGCCTACCATTTACCCTCCACAACTCGAGGAAGATTAATTTTTAACGTGGATAGAAGATTCATTCGGTTTAAAAGAAAACATATCTTTAATATAAAAATTAGATAACTAATTTGTAAATATTAAAAAAAATAGTTAAGTCAGTTATTTATAACAAATAGACGTTATTTCTTCTAAAATATATTTTTTAATCATGTCTATTGGAACTATCCATTGATAAAAGTTTCTTAACATATGCAATCATTATAGAAATTATTTGGAGGCAAAATAAATAAGTATTGAAGACAAAATGAATTGAGATCTTATATTTAGAATCAAATTAAATTTTTAACAAGCTATTATATTAAGGATTAGACTATTAGCCAATCTTCTGTTTTACAATTACAAAAACCTACATATCTATTTTAAAATCAGGCATAAACCTGAAATTAAATTGTGCGTTACGCAAACATTTTCATGCAACCAAAAAATACTTCTAATATATATTTTCAAAATTTATAATATATATGTTGTAAAATTTATTAATTTTGATTATACTATAAAATTTTATAATTTTAACTTTTCATTGCATTTATTGAAAATTATTTATTTAGATTTCTTTCAAATGGCTAAAACCATATTTTAAACGCATATGTTTGTTCAACATATATTATAAATAATTTAAGTATGAAAGATTATATAAATCATTTAAATTTATAATTAAAAATTTTTAAACATATTTTTAATACAAAAATTTATAAATACATTTAGTAAGGATATATTTATTTAAACAAAAAAGTATGTATTTATTAAAAATAATAAAATTTTTGACTTTCGTATGTCTACTTTAACTGAATTATTTGAGCTTCTTTTCCAATACAATAAAAACATTAAACAAATGAGAATACGTATTAACGATTTGCAACAAAAGGAATAAGAAAAATCTTAAATTCTTCAAAACATTTTTAGCAAAAATTAAGAATTTAGTATGATGAAATCTAAATTAGTAAGTAAAACTTATTTTAATATAATTTTTAATTAAAAATGTTTTTAGAATATTTTTAACGGAATTAATGATTTAAACTTAAGTGTATGATTATAAAATAGAAAAAAAAGTCTATATAATTAAGATAAAATATAAGAGAAATTAGGGTATCTTTCTTTAAAAAAATCAACCTAAAACATCATAACAAAACAAAATTGGAAAGTACACAACAAAAGAAATAGTAATCAAATGGAAAGATAAATAAAGGTGGACAACAAAGGAACTATGATACAAATGGAAGTAGCAAAAAGTATGCAAATAAGGAATTAAAGAAGAAAAACAATAAAATAGGAAACTGCTCAAGATACAATTAATGAATAAAACTTAGAAAGAGAAATGGCAACACAATGATTGTAAGAAAACATCAAATAGGAAAGTTGATTGCTCAAAAAAAATTTCCTTTTTGTTTCTTTCTACTTTATCTTGTCTTGCTACCTTTTTTCCCCTACTATATACTTGGGGGGGAAAAAAAAGCTCCTCTCTTTTTCTATTTTATTTTAAAAATATGATGTGCATCTCTAGCTGGAAAACTCCAATTAGAGTGATTAAGAGGGGACAAAAAGAAAAAAGTAAGCAAAAAACACAAGCACACAAACACAATATAATTTAGGAAACTAATCACTCACACACAAAATGGGGAACTCATGTAAAAGAAGAAATTAAGGCAAAATGAAAAACTACTGAATAATTAACACATTACACAAACGGGTTTATATTGAAGGCCCAAAAACATATGTATTTCCCAATTCTCTAAATGGCACAAATGGAATAAAATGAGTCCAAATTAACAAGTCTTGGCCCATTAATTAATTAAAAGACAATTCTTATGTCATGCCGGCTTGCCTAATCAATGTGAATAATGAATATAATATAAAAAGATGAACGGGTTATTCACATCCTCCAATCCTCAAACTTGCTAAGATATTCTTAAGTACCCTATAAGGACCACTTAATTAGTAATATGACCAACAGAATTATTTCAAATGATGCAAAAAAATAATAATAAGTAAATTAGTTAAATTAGTTATCTATAAAAAAATTATACTCAGACTTTTTTAAAATTCCTTTTTAATTATTTACATTTAAAAATATTCATATTAATTGTGTATAATTAAAAGAATAATTTCAAAATAAATAAATAAATATGAAAGACAAATAAAATTGAGATCTTTTATGTAGGACCAAAAAAATTCATTAATTTAGAATTGGAGGGAGAAGTGTTGTTATTGCGTAA